CGTTCCAACTTTGTTTCGCTGGGGCTCTTGTATATTTCAAAGGCAGAACACGGAAGTTCTTATCTACTGATCGAATAGTCGATGGATATTCTATCAACTATTCGATTAGTTAATTAATCAAAATTTAACATCCCTGAGATAAGACAAAAAATATCATATAGTCTCTATATAAATTAGGGATGTTAACTTATAGCCATTTATATGATTAACCGATAAGTCCAGACTAATCTTAACACACCTCCCCCCTTGCTGCCTCTGATTCAGAGTTAGGCAGGACCTGGTGCCTATAGAGAACTGGTGACTGTGGCTTTTACCCACAAAAGCTTATGCCCAAATAAATGTGCTACTCTTTAAGGTGCCACAGGAGTCCCCGTTGTTTTTGCAGACACAGACTAACATGGCTACCCCTCTGAAATCTGTGAAATGTGGTGAGCATCTTGGGTTTAAATTGAGGACTTCAAGTTATCTATTTCAAGGTTTTATAAGTACAGCTTAGTATAGTGGTTTTCAAACTGGGTTGTGACCCTGTACTGGGTTTCATTGCTGCAGGGAGATCAGGTGACCATTGGGGGTGCTAAGGCATGCTACCTGCCTGTCCTGGCACTGCCGACTGTGCTGTGTCCCAGAAACAGCTGGCAGTAGGTCTGACTCTTACATGAGGGGTGGGGGAGAGTGCACAAGGCTCTGGGGACTGCCCTTGTCCTGAGCACTAGCTCTGCAATTCCCTTGGCTGGGATCCTGCTCCTGGCTGCTTCTGGGGTGCAGCATGATCTCCGGTGTCAGGAGAGATAGGAAGCCTGCCTTAGCAACCTCACTGCACCGCTGACCATGATCCGCTCAAGGTAAGCCCCTCCTGCCACAGCCCTGACCTCCTCCCACCCGGAGTCAGAGCCCTCCACTCCAAAGCTCTCATCCTCAGGCCCACCCCAGAGCCCACACTCTAGTCAAATCATGTTGGGCCATGAGCATCAACAATTTTCTTCAACTGGGCCATGAGAAAAAAAGTTTGAAAACCACTGGATTATTAGGCAACAATTGCATATCACTTGTCCTTAATAAGGATTGCTAGTCTTAGTCAGCAGGTAGTTCAGATTCCATGCCCGTTGAAGCATTGGCCCCTTTGTGTGCACGGCTGTAAACAATTATTTGCTTGTCTCAATGCATGTCCACTTTTCTTGATGTGATGCGCAGTAACAGAGTATTAAGTTTTAAGTTTAATGTATTTAGAATATTAAGTTTTAAGTTTAATCCTTCACAAGAATGAGTGATAATTAGAAATAAGAACTGTCAAATAGAATTGCTGTTAAGGTGTGACAATTTTATGGCAAAAACTTGAACAATATCTTATCTTAATGGAATTTCAGCTTTCTGCTGTATTTGAATTTCTCATATTTTGATGATCTCTTAATCTTAGTGTTAGCAAGAATCTTAATGTTATATAAAAGGTTTTTTGTATTTAATACCATGAAGAAGAGTTTGAGGAATATAGTCACCACTAGTAAACACATAACATTAACATTTCATGTGTTAGTTGTTGAATGAGAATTTGCTTCTACTACAGGCAAGTTAGGCTGACATGAGTTTAGTGCTTGAATGGATAATAGTATTTTACAGTCAATTTAGTACCATAAATCATGTGCAGTCTGTTACAGTGTAAGCTCCCTGATGGTTCTTTGCTTTGCTGCCATGCTATATCTTCTTTATCTAGATTTTATGTCAGTACTTACTTGCATTTACCCTACAAAATGTAACTAAATAATGGTTTTATTAGTTGTTGGAAGTCATTTATATTTAACTAGAAGATGTACCTGACATTGCTTGGGTCCTTAACTCAATTTTTGGTTTTCATAATTTAAATAATTGCTCTGGAATGGGGCTGAGGATCAGGGGTTCAGTATGCAGGCTGCCCTGGGGAGGAAGAACTATCCCAGCCCTTTCTCACCGCAGCAGCTTGGGGCTGGGTGAGAAGTGCCTCTCCATGGCTGCTGCAGCTGGCATTGGCAGGGGCGGGGTGCATATCCCTGTCTGGGGGACAGACAGACACACAGACAAACTTTCTCAGATACATAGTAGATAGCTGCCCCTTTCTTCACCCCTACCCCCTGTTGCTGCAATGGGGTAATAACTGTCCCGGTTCCCATCTCTGTCCCCTTGCTGTTGCTTGTGGTCATTATACAGTATAACTGTCCCTGCTTTCTGCACTCGTTTGAATTAATGAACTTCCCAGAAGTTAAAGCCACGCCCAGTTGTGATGTTTTCAGTCCAAAATTGTATTGGCTTTTTCCCCCTCTTCCCATATCATGGTGAAAAATCAGATGAAATTTGCAGAAAACTATTATCCTTAGATTTTTTTTGGTATTGCTGCTTTTCAGACACTTAGGCTATGCATAGTTATTTCGGAATAAGCTATTCCGGAATAATTATTCCGAAATAGCTTATTTTGAAATAGCACGTCTACACTGCAGGGAAGTCTCAAAGGGTATGTCTACACTACAAAGTTAGTTCGAACTAACAGATGTTAGTTCGAACTAACTTTCATAGGCGCTACACTAGCGCTCCGCTAGTTCGAATTTAATTCGAACTAACGGAGCGCTTAGTTCGAACTAGGAAAACCTCATTTTACGAGGATTAAGCCTAGTTTGAACTAGCTAGTTCGAATTAAGGGGTGTGTAGCACCTTAATTCGAACTAGTGGGAGGCTAGCCCTCCCCAGGTTTCCCTGGTGGCCACTCTGGCCAACACCAGGAAAACTCTTCTGCCTCACTCCCGGCCCCGGACTCCTTAAAGGGGCTGGCTACGGTGTCCGTGCCAGGTGCAAGCCTGCCAGCACCCAG